TTGTGATTATTGTCAAAATTTTAGTACGATTACTAATTCGTATTCATTAATGCAAACAGTACACTTATTCACTAAATGATTGAGTTAAAGAAAATGTACCCAAAACTTGTATCAATACTCTCAGTCAGTCAGTGACAACGTAAAACTTTGTACGTACGTACGTTCATCAGTTCGACTTACCATACCACATTGACACAGAGATACAATTGTTGATTCAAATCCTGTAGTGGTAGAAGTAGTAAGACTATAAGAAGTAATCGGAAAGATTAGAGTTTGAAGATGTTATACAAGGAGTATAATTCAGTGAAAAAAGGGACATGAGGAATTCAGAAGATTATGTATCAATACTCTGAGTGATCATAAACAAACGAACACTGGGAAAATATAGACCTTTGTAAAAAAAACAAACAAAGAAGCCCTTCAGTTGACGCTTGTCTAATTGATTATTCTGAATGTATTACTACTATGTTACACTAATGCAAGAAAGAAAACCGATATGAGAATAAGGGTGTTAAGATCATAGACTTTTAAAAAAATCCATATTAACAATATGATGGATACCCATCTATAAACAACTAAATATCAATAAACGCACCCAATTTTGTATAAGACAGAGAGAATGATGGTGACATTTGTATTTGTTTTCTTGTTCATAGTTAGACAAACAGATATAAGGATAGACATAAGCAACGTACACTACAGCACAACTTAAGCTATATTAAAAGAAAAGAGGATAATGAAATAAAAATTTGATTGATTACATGTCCAAGTATTTCAAGGGAAGGAAGCGAATACAACAGTGGGGACATTCCCTTTGACAACAATTAGGCCATTATCGACAGTTCATCATATTTGTGTGAGGGCTGTGATACTGCCCGGGTGCTCAGATCAAAGCAGGTGGCTTTCTCAGAGGGCCACACCCCGAACCTTTGACCTAATGGTCTAACCCACAAGGCAGTAGAGCATCGTGAGGAAATGCAGCCACATGGTAACCGGTGACCGAAAATTGGTTCACATGCCATTTGTTCCCGCAGGATACTAGAGCTCATGTGCACCATTGGTTTGGGATCCGGTTAAAGCGCTGGACATTCGCTTTTCGTCCTCTCATTTTCGTAAGCAACAGTAATGCCACGAGAAGGTAGTGAGTAGGACTGCCCTGGCAGAGGCTGTGTACGCGTGACCGTGTGAGAGCATTTCGAGAGGGAAGGCGGGCCCACCCCACTCTCGACCATACCAGGGCACTTGGGGGCAACAATTAGACCGCACGATGTTGTCGATGGGCTCACCACTTTAGTGGCTCATGATCTGACTCCAGTGAGATCATATGAATGATTGGTATTGAAGTACAAATATCGTCAGTTCTCGTAAATAATTATCGACTTAGATCGCGTTAGTGAATAACGGAATTAAATAAATCAAATACAAGAATGGATTTTGAATATGTATATTTCATGGACTCATTGATTTGAACAGGTAATCGGGGAATGAAGCGAAGCGAAATGACGCACAGTAAAGGCATATGAGTCAACTCCCTTTAACCGAGGGTTAATTATTATTTATAGTCACACAAGAATAAGCTACATATATGTGATGAATAGAATAAGAAATGTACACACACACATACGCTCATATGAAGGCAGTCAAAGTTGATAAGTGAATAATTAACAAAATGTGACTCAAGTAGAATGAATAGATTTGTCTGTTCGAAAGCTAGAATAAGGTATATAGGCTTAACATAGTAACCGGCACTACACTTTCATCATTTCTCCGAGAGCTTCTTAACTATATCTCTGTACTCCATAAATCGAGAAAGTAATCTCAACCCCGTATCTAACATGGATTTTAAACAATTCAAAATAACTCATATTATCAACGTAAACACAAAATTAACAAGGAAACTACTCTTAACATTCATCGATAAATAAACTTCAGTAGAAAAGTATTTTTAAGAAATTAAAATGCATGTAAAACTACGTCATTGCTGTTAAGATCAAAACCGTCGAACAGGATCATTTCTTTTTCATGACAAGAATCAAACAAATTATGTAAATATCTCAACCCTATATAAAATCAGCCGGCGCTTAAATAACTCAATGGTAATATCTATGATCGGATCCTACACTGATTATCAGTTTCTCTATGATTGAAGATCTACCTCGCTAATTAGAATCCATCTTGGCCAAGAAGAATTTCCTGTTGACTGATGTTGGCCATCAAATATCTTCATGACAATGTATGATCACACATCTAACAGACAGCTTGAGAATAATTCATCTACCTGATTTATCAAAAAATGACCTTATTCATTTTGATTTCTGAGCTTATCTTCAATAAATTATCATCATTTGGAATAGTTAACTAGCTTAACTTCAAATACTAATTCAAAGCATTTTGGTCATAAAACGATTGTACGGTGTTTTGAAAAGAAGTTTAGTGTTTCCATTCACTGATCGTTACTCCATTTCGCTTTAATCATCAAGGATCTATTCCATTCACACTAACAAACTATCATTTCTTTATGGTTCAGTACTTTTTTCTAAAATGGGAATCTCTTAGAGCTGTCAGTAAGCTAGTTATTTTACTTCTAAAATACTATACTGAAGTGTTAGACTTTGGAAATACGGATTTCATCTTAGCTTTTCCTGTTCTCAATAACAATTGTAGCCCATTAAAAAGATTTCATTTCGTACATGATTACCTCTAAACTCTAGACGAATGTGCATGTGAAAGTGAATACTCAATAGAAGGTCGGAGATTTATTCGGTTGGGATTAGTTGACTTATTGATCAACCACAAGCTTATAAACCCGGCTTTGAACAATCCATTGATTGAATAAAGACTGGTAATACTACCCGAAGTGCAGTTCGAACTTGAAACCTAATAATAGGTTGGGAGTTGACTATTTAAATCAACGGTTTGCTAAATAATGATTGATTGGTACCATTCTGTATTATCAAGCTTTGAATAAGAATTGACGAAAATACATCAAGAGTAGAATGGTGATGATAGGAATCCCAGCAATATGTTCGAAAAACAAGTAGAGCTGCACAGTTGATATTGACCCATATCACTCAAAATTAAAGTAGAACTCGATACAACAATACACAAACCGAAGTCACCATAACACATGAGCACAACAATATGAACAGTAGTCCAAATAATAACAGTATAAACGGAAACGACGGACTGAATACTGGAAATATATTCCGAAAAGGCAAATATGAATAAATATATTGTAACCCAAGAGCTGGAGGAAAACGGAGAGTGAACTCATCTACGACATGTCATACGTCTTCGGTCATTGATCATACAGATCCTAATAATGTAGTCAGTATTTACCAACACGGTTTAATCTAATGGTCAATAATTTCATGAACTGACAGCACGGTTTGGTTTGGTCACCCCCGACTTTATTTCGTGGATTCCAACATGGTAGTATAAGTAAAAATTACACTAGGCTAGCTTTATTAACTAACCCCAATTTAGTGGGTAGTCTAATTGAAACATTTATGAGATGATAAAGTTTGATGAGCGCTTATTTGCATTCATAAAACAATTTGAGGAATATCTGACACTATAGAACACCTATGTACTAATGAGGAAAATTTAGTTATTAAGCAGAATTGGTTTGTACCTTCTATTAAGTTAGTCTTTCATTAACAAGTCATCCTTTAATAGATATCCACCCAACATCACGAAAAGACTAAATAGAAAATCTTTTGTACGAAGTCAATGAAGATATTTCACCTCACCTAAACTAACTAACAAAAAACTACCGAATAGTATCCATTACAGTTAGGTGATTAATTGCAACATACATATTACTAAGTGGTTTGTAGTATATTTAAGCCATGGAGCCAATATATAAGAAAATGATGCATAGTGTACGAATAAATCATCTGCTGAATTGACGATAAACTACTACAATGACACTATTTGTAATCATTTGTTTAGCTTTGAGTTAAGCTTGTACATCATTTACGAATACATCCAATTGTCCAGTAGATCTTTCTCAGTCTAGTTGGAGTGCATATAATATCAAAAGTACATACAGTTCTATCATTTAATAACTCACTGAAACAAAATTATTTTTTCATGTGACATTCTGACTAGCTGGGAAAACCTTAGACTATAGAGTCAGTCAAACGCAACTCAAAACATGACACATGAGTAGATCGGTTGCCATACATCATTAACACGAGACGAAATTGTCAGGACAAATCCCATAGCATAGGTAGTAACAGGCACTGAAAATATGATTCAAAAAATATAAATCAGAGGAACAAAGTTTTTTATGAGGAATTGAGAAACTAAGAGTGAATGCTCCTCTGTCATTGTGAATAATTCTGGACTATGTCACTCAAAGTCTCTAACCACTGATTACGATAACCATGTGGACTCCAACCGAGTAGTTTACACCTACAGCCAGTGACTTAGTGGACTAATGTCACGTTTTGGTTTGGCCTCCCTCATCTTTCTCCCAACCTATTCTTATGCCATTCATCCATGAGCATCGAGGTAGTCAGTGTATGAACATACGTAATAAATATTCTAACCATCTCAGTCGATAAAGATTCACCACTTCGTCAATCAATTTGTCATATTTACCTAGTACTCTGCGCCTAGCCTTAGAATTGCGAACTCAACGATCCTAAAATATACGAACAATCGTTCGAAGGAACCAATGATCGAATAATAGTAACTCAGGAGTATCCCTTATTTTAAAATTCCATGCTTAGCATCCATAAAGCAGAATGGAGAGAACTGGTTGATAGTAGGGCTACAGAAAAAGTCGAAACCATGTCGTCTTACAAAATACGTATGAAAAGTGCGAAAAATAGGGTGAAATATATTTACGTATGAATTGACAAATAAATATTTATGAGACTGTACAATTATGGTTATGGTTCACTTTATACCAACATGATAATAATAATACCAACAATCACATGAAATAATCAGTTTCAAATATACATAATGATACTTGTTAAATAGGCCATTCATCTCTCTGCGTACCCGAATTCGCAAGAATCACTAAAAATGAAAATGAAATGAGAGAACTAACAAATGGTTTTGATAATGGAGAAACATCAGCAATTAATAAAGGTCGAAATATCTTGCTCTGTCAACTGGAACAACACACTCCTGGATCATTTACATGGTATTGTCACTAAACAAGAGGAAACTCGTGGGGGTGGTGTTCAAACAGCCTCACTTTAGATAGACAAGTGTCATAAGGGTTAAGTAGAACTATTCGCATCCCAGTGTTATTCATTGAACTGAGGTAATAACAGAGCTAAGGGGCTAATAGTGCCATGCGCAACTCTGGTCCTCACTGTGTAGATTGGTTTTATTTGCCATAAATAATTGTTTGTTTTTCAAAGCAAGAAAGGTAATTTCCGTAGGCATGTGGTCAGTGCATGACATGGTCGTGGTCAGTGCATGACATGGTGTCGTGGCATGAAAGAAAGCTGCAAAGGACTGGCTTGTGTTGGTCCTTCACGACTCCCTGGTTGGGGTCCGAGAGATGGTGCTACACAGTGGCTAGAGACGTTATCAGATATGGCTCAGAATAGAAGCCAGTGGCGATCCTGCTGTAACCTTCTTTTACTTTCTTTCTAAAAAGTGGTTTTGTCTCCTTTACCTGAAAGATTTCTTCTGATTGTACCTTTTCGTCCCGTCGTTACTACCACACTACCTTACTCCAATCTCTTCGTCATTGTTCTCTTTTTCTTTTGCGTTCCCTAGTTTTTTTTTTCTCTTTCTATTTCTCTTCGAATTTTCATTGTTTTGTGTGGCGCATATATATTGGCGCTCTCTTGTACCAATATTTATGTGTTCAAATAAATAAATAAATAAATTATTTGCCATGTCAGCATAACCATTGACACATTTATGCAGGCACGTAAACCTTTTAATACGTCATCAGAAATTGGATTCCGGCATAAAATTTAACTAATTTCATAAATACATACTGATGATGTACAATACTTGTCATAAACTAATTGTTGACCTCTAATTGATTATATATAATTTGAGTAGTTTACTTGTCACTTCATTGTAACAGACTACCTATTCACAATCGGCAAATTTCTCACCAGACAGGCCTACAACAATATCAAGTATGTTATTAAAAGACGGCTTCAGAATGCCACTTATCACCCCCAATTTGGAACAACAGAAATAAGTAATGGTATTTTTTTTACAAGGTACTCAGGACAGTCATCGACTTCCTACATACGCTCCTGAAACACTGCTGACTGTACAGAGGTGTGACAGCAGTAAGGTGTTTCCTTCAAACAACCAGCATGACAGCGATGCTGCCTTCCGACAAGGAGGGGTGGGTTAGAAAAGGTCAACACTAAAAATGCACACCTCGCCTTATCTCATGGATATCCGTCTCCACCGGTAACGTCTCAACAAGTACGGAGCTAACACAAAAATTACCCATAAGAAGGTCGTGTGTGACCGACCTCAAGCAGTTGTCCCTTGAGCACTGTGGTCACGCTCCCAGGTCACTAAGATCACCAATAATCCAATTTCCAGAAGAACCCTTCCACGGTGTGGGCAACCGGGAAGTGATAACCGCCCTTATACCTCCAACAGGCACTCAAGAAACACTGCTTTGTCCTATTGAAAGCATTTAATGATATCATGGCTAGATTACATTTCGAGGCTTTAAAACTTAAAACATTTTTATATACTATTTTACCTGATTAAGAGTACATAAAAGTGCTAGGATAGAAATAATCGAAACAGTTAACACAAAAACCAATTTACTTTGCATGAGATTGTTGTCGAGGAAAGACAACCGAACGAGCGTTACAGTTGCTTGGTTGAATTAAAATACGCTGGTTTGTTGGTTGACTACTCGACAATCGAATTCCAGGGGATATAGTAGGCGAAGTCACAGACTTTAAACGTTACTAGCTGTATTATTTACAGTCCCGGGACTAACAACTTTTAGGGGACGGTTTGTTACAGATACATATTTTGAGTGGGAACCAATAGGTGTTCGTTGGGATGCGAATGATACATAAGGAATCGATGGATTTGAAGGACATACTGACGAGTTAGTTACAAGAGAACCACTTCTGTTTGGTCGCTGGGTAGTAGGTAAATTATTGGAGCTAGCAGCAACTGGTGTGACTAAATGAGTATTTGAAGTGATTGTAGGCGGCGATCCTGGATTACTCAGGCTCGATTTCAAAGTATTTCCAGAAGAACTTAGCAGCCGTGATGAGGTATCATTATCGCCACTAGGAGTAGCGGAAATGGTTGTTTTTGAATGAACTGAAGGGATTTGGTATTGTAACCTGGGTTTAGTAGATATAAGAGATGAATGGCCAGACAGATGACTGTGGTTCGTCTCTACTTGGTCATGCGAAATCCAACGATCTTCCTAAACAGGGAAGTAATAGAGACTTTATTAGAGTTAAGGATTAAAACATTCTTTTGATAACTGAATAACTTCAAATAATACGTCCTACAAAAACAAATCGGCACAACATCAAGTGATGAATCTAGCAGTATTCTGTCTCATATTAGCATTGAATATGTAATGGTTATGTTTAACATTCAAGTACTTTGAGTCTATCTATGAATAATAATTTGTACGTCTCTGATGTTTTCAACTTTAAAAAGGTATATTTAACACCTATTAGTTAGGATATGAGGATTATCAGAGACAAAATAGGAATAAATATTTTAGTATGTAGATAAATTCAACCCAAACTTACATTTTCTTGTGCTGAGATTGAATTCAAAGCTAATAAACTGGTTGGGTCACTGTGGAAACCCGCATTTTCGTTATGATCTATGAATGAAAAAGAAAACGAGATTTTATAGTTTAAACTCTAATCGAAAGTTTTGCTTGAGTCAACGAACACAACAGCAAACGACAGGCTGCTAATTTACCTTTCCTTCATTCACTTTTAAAGTGACGTTTGTTGGACAGGACTATTGTGAAAACCATGGACTTCCAGAATCAGTGTGATTTACTTATGATCAGTGGTTGAAAGCAATGTACGACATTATTCATTAATTATCACAGAAGCAGATGTATTTACTCTGTATTGTCCTTTAGGTTCTGAGTTCCAGTATTCAATCAAACATACCTCTTAATTCCTTCTAGAACCATATTCTAGATGTTAAATTCTCACTCCTTTGTAATTACTTGTATCAATTTCATTTGTGGTGTGAGAATCAAGGCTGACGTACATTTGTAACGGACTACGCTGATCATGACTAACTGACCAAGATTCCCATAGTGACCTACCAACTACCAATAACATTAAGAGTGGTGGGTGAACCCAAGTTACTTCGCATTATTTGAAAATGGATTGTCCTTACATAGCACAGTTCCTTAGAAAATCAGACAGGGATACTAAAGAGTGACTAATTACCAGTTAATGCAAAGAATAATAGTAATATGGCATGTTATACATTAAAGACTGGTGACTCATGACGCTTGACGTTAACAAGGTACTTCATTTGGATGGATCTCACCGCATAAATACGCAGCCAATGTGAAGTACTTTCATATTTATCTAAAGTGATCTGAGATTTATTGATAGTGATCATTAAGAGCGAAGTCTTGATCACATTTTGCCTCTTCCCATTAGACTAATCTATAGTGACGGACTGTTATGTCGAAGTGAAACCCCAGGGACAATGGACTTTATTTCAATAAAGTACAACGAAAAAGAGTATAATACGTCTTTTCTTAGGAACAAATATTTACTACAGTGGACTTACCAGCGACATGCGGGTCACTCTTTATTTTTTTTAGATCCTGACAATTCTCGGAAAAATTCACAGGACGTTTATTGCCGGCAGAGATAACCGATCTAAAGTGTTATAAGCAGACAGAAACCTACTTTTGAAAGGTTTGGAGTCGTCTCTGACAGCGTTTCGACAAGTAGAATGATTATTGATCAATTCATCCAGTAGTAAACTAAAATTATAAGCCGTAGTTGACGAAGACCCAAGAACTTACTCTTTCTCACTAGAAACTATGCGGATAATATTATTTAACTTAGCGATTTCGGATTTCAGAGTCTCATTTATCTTTAGACATGTAAGAAACCAAAAGACAAACACACTTACCACGATCTGTTGTTTGCACAAGTTCTTAAGCATTTCATATCTTTCCTCTATTGAGTCTTTAAGTATATAAAAACATTTTCATTTATAATACCTTGGGATAATTCCTTCATTTCGAGGTAAACGACGTTTTGTCCAATGTGGCCAGTCAATTGGAAAGCTTGTTGAGTCCACACAGGGACTAAAATGCATGAAATTGTAAAATGGCCAAGTTTCGTAGCGAATTTCAAAACCGGATGCACGGAATAAGATGGACTTCATCATCAACTGGAAGATGAGACAGTGAATGTTGTAGAGTAGATCGAAAATAATTTTTTATACATCATTATTCATTATTTGTTGATAGAAAGTTGAGAACTGTTTATTATAATTTGTTTTAGTTTATTTCAAAGTGCGCGCTCTAGCCTGGGCGCAAAATCGATTTCCACAAAAAAGCAGTAGGTTCTATATATGCACTCAGAACTAATAAAAAAATAACTCCATCTATTCTTCTTTCCGGTTTGATAGTTGAAGTGTTATGCATTCTTCAGATGTATATTGTCTGTTTTCGGAAGCGATGGCAACCTTTTTAATATTAGGTCGGTATATTGTTTTGCATAAAATGCAACAGTACATAGTTAACGATACAATGCAGGTGGGTCTCTAGTGCAATACTCTAAGTCCTTAGTTTGGTCAGTGAAAGTATCAGTCTGATGCGGCGTTTTCATTAATGTCACAACTATGTTAAGAATCCCAGATTCAGATTTGTGTAGCAGGAACAGAAGACATACGTCTTATGTTAGTTCTTTTTTGTAAGCTTTTGACAGTGTCCAATCAATTGGAGGGTCAGACATCACTTTTTCGAGTGACAACTTTCAAGAATTGATGACCCAGTATGGAAACTTGTGTGGCATGATATTTCGTTTATTCTTCGCTTTTCTACTCGTCCGCTATGTTGTTCTAACCTGGTAGGAAGAAATTAAGAGTGGATATCGGGCCCAAAACCATTTCTTAGTGTTCTATACGCTAAAATCAGATCACCTACGACGGAGTTATGAAGTCTGAATTCTCAAGTCGCTTTCGATAAAGTTTTGCTTTGAGCTGCATGGTTTGGTCGTGGAGCTCTCATCATTCTTCTGGACGACGTCATTAGCACAAAATTCTACGGCCAAACTATCCTCAGGGAATAAAACTCCAACAAATTTATCCACCTAAGCTACAAATATCCACCATCTCAAGTCTCTATGTGTATGGTAAACCGCGGAGTTCTGGAGTTGCATAGGTAGCTGCTCTCTGTGCTTTTCCAGTATATGCTAGTCACCTTTTCAACGAGAGATTGTAGCCTGAACACACTTCTGAAATTTGAATCTCACTAATTATGTTCATACTACAATGAAAACAGTAATATCTATATTGGTCAGTGACCGTCCTAAAGCCCATAGGGCTCTGAACCCCTTAGCTGCGACCCTGCGGCCTTAAGATTATGGCTCACTGTCAGCCCAAAATCCTTGAGGCTAGCACTTTTATTCTGGATAAATCAGTCACTGATGTTTTAAAGTCAAGGTTTTGTAACTTGGTATCAATCAAATAAAACCAGTCAAGTTATGTGACACTAGAATCTAGGAAATTGTTTGCGTTAGTACTTATCGAATAGAATTTAGTCACCAGGCAACGGTTTTACGCTACTGGATTGTCAATTGATTAAAACTATCGCAGAACCTGGCCCATTATTTGCCTCCTAATATAGAACAGTCCTTATGCTATAAATAAATATGTGACATCTATTGTGATATCTAACATGGTTACTTTGGAATTATCTGTACCGGACAAAACCTAATAGTTGGTTAGTTAGAAAGGTGTAAGCATCAGTCATAGATCATATAGAGCGTAATTATATATATATATATATCATCTCTGTGCCCGAACACACGATGCCGAACCTCTGCATTACTGACATGGTGTTGCCACTGAATGTCAGCAATCCTTCGGAGACAGCGATGATCGAACACAGAGAGTCGTCTAACGTCCTCAACTCGGAGAGGCCAGGTTTCACAAGCATAGAGCAAAACTGCTCTCACCGACGCGTTGTAGATCCGACCTTTTACAGCCAGACTAACATCACGAAGGCGCCAAAGGTGGCCCAGATTGGCATAAGCCGCTCTGGCTTTCACTATTCGTGCATTGATCTCATCACTCACACCCCCACCAGCACTTATGCAGCTACCCAGATACACGAACTTTTCACTACGTCTATCTGCTCACCATCCAGGGTGAGTACAGGATTAGAATCCTGCCAGTCTTGTAGAAGTACTTTGCACTTCGAAGGTGCAAAGCACATACCATACCTACGGACACTGATTGCCAACTGATTAAGTGCGGATTGCATGCCTTGGGCATTATCGCACAGTAAGACAATATCGTCCGCATACTCAAGGTCGAGAAGTCTTTCTCCAGGCAACAGATCCACACCACCATTACTTACATTCATCAGAGCTGTTTCCAGAATGTCATCGATGGCAAAGTTGAAGAGGAATGGTGAGATTGGGCAACCCTGCCTAACCCCACTGCTCGAATGGAACAATGGAGAGAGGTGGTTGTATGCCCTCACTCTGCCTGAGGTGTTTTTATACAGGGCTTTTAGGATGTTAATAAACTTCTCAGGCACACCCTTCTTCAATAGACAATCCCAGAGAACAGTCCTATCCAACGAATCGAAGGCAGCCCTGATGTCAAGAAACACTACGATTGTTGGCCTTTGAAAAGTATGGCGGTGTTCTAACATTTGGCGGAGGGTGAAGATATGATCAATACATCCTCGACCAGAACGAAACCCAGCCTGCTCCTCGCGAGTCAATCTTTCTCGGGTTTTGAACAACCTACGAAGAATGACGGAAGCCAATAGCTTGGACGCAATCGGAAGTAAACTTATCCCCCGATAGTTGTTACAAGAACGACGTGAACCCTTTTTAAAGATAGGGACAACTATCGACTCATTCCATGACGTTGGTACACTCTCTAGTTCCCAAACCTTTGTAAACAACGTCGTCAATTCCTTAGTCAAAAAGTCACCACCATCTTTAAAAAGAGCCGGAGGTAAGTCATCTGGGCCAGGTGATTTGTAACGCTTCAAGAGTTGGAGTTCCTTGCGGACTTCCTCCTCGTTTGGTGGATCAGTCGTCACCGGCCATGGAGGGCAGGACAGTCTGACCGATGTTGCCGGAGCAGCAGGCCAGTTGAACTGCCCTTCGAAAAATTCTGCCCATCGTCCAAGACGTCGATGGATGTTAGTGATTGGCATCCCATCATCCTCGCAGATTGTTTCACTCACACCAGACTTCTTGCTGCCAGTGGCTCGGATGAGTTGGAAGAGCTTCCGGTAGTTACCAGATGCAGCTGCTGCTTCCAGCTCATTAGCACGCATCGACCACCAGGCTTCTCGGTCCTTACGCAAGCTTTGCCCGATTTCCTTACGTAAAATCCTTCGTTTATGGTCAAACTCACGGTCACCCGGAGTAGACCGACGGGCTTCAATGAGATGTAAGGAACCAGAAGACGTTATCAGATATGGCTCAGAATAGAAGCCAGTGGCGATCCTGCTGTAAGCTTCTTTTACTTTCTTCATAAAAAGTGGTTGTGTCTCCTTTACCTGAAAGATTTCTTCTGATTGTACCTTATCGTCATTACTCTCTTTTTCTTTTGCGTTCCTTAGTTTTTTTTTTTCTTCTCTTCGAATTCCCATTGTTTTGTGTGGCGCATATATATTGGCGCTCTCTTGTACCAATATTTATGTGTTCAAATAAAATAAAATAATAATAAATATATGCATGCCATGTCACTTATAATACCAGACTCGAAATTTGGTAGACAACTACTCTTAAGTCTACTAGGCTCTCCATCATTCAAATTAACTATGAAATATACATTCTGTACCCGTGGATCAGTTCCCGAGTCACTAATTTCATGAACTGACGTTGTGCCATAGTATGACAGTTACCAGACTTTTCATTCACTCACTACTTTGTTTAGCGCATAGATCCTTCTCCTTTGTCAAAAAGCATTACCCTTCTTTATTTCATTAATACAGTTGCTAATTATGTTCTCTTAACGATCTGCTCATTTATAGCAAAAATCAAACCTATATATGTTAGTTCCTGTTATCATCTTTTAACTAGCTTTTAGAGTACGTTTACGTAGACAGGAGTATTGTCAAGACAGTCGATTCATGATAATTAACACTATCACTTTTCGTGGATAATTCTACACATATTTCCCTCAATCTACCTGGATTTCTTATGGATTACAAATCTATCAATAATGTTGCTAGTCTATTTATTTGATTCAAAGAGTAATGGCTGATTCGTCAAAGTCTGACTTTCAACCTATAAGTTACATGTACACGCTGCCCCTAACCTAACTTTTAGTTGGGTAGCCAATTGATATAACGAGTCCTCAATATGTATCGCTCAAAGTTGACTACATGAACTAAGTCATCTGATCTGATGGGGAATTTAACTAAGAAGCTATTTGGCTTAGTTTGTTAATATATTATGTAGTTATTTGTATTTCGAAATAAATGTTTGACCTATGTTTTTTAATCTTTCTAGCTCGATTCGATGACACGTCATTCAAAAACTGCACAGCCCATACAGTATATACTTATTATGAGCGGAAAAATGATGCACACAGGTCAGGTTTTGGCACCCAGGAAATCCGTTTAGGAAAAGATTCAGTGAAAGCTCTTGATTGTTGCTCTCTTTGTCTACAACCAGCAAAGGATCCTGTCGTTACAAATGATGGATTCCTTTATGATCGAGCAGTAGTTCTGGAGTACATTGTTTCTCAAAAGCTGAAATTCAACGAAAACTTAAGTTGTATGAAAAACAGAAAGCCCGTCTAGATGCTGAGACAAAAATGATTCTCAAGGCTGAAAAAGAGGAAGAAGCCCGACGATTTCTATCAATGAATACTCTGGATACCCACTCAAAAGCCTCTGCACAAGCTGCTGAAGCAGAAGCTTTGGCCTCATTGTCCATTAAACGCAATGGTTTGAATGAAGC